CGGTCCAGATCAAATCACGATGAACGGTCCAGATCTACTTCCTATTTAAATGCTATCGGACGGTCCAGATCAGATCGCGATGAACGGTCCAGATTCACTCCCTATTTAATTGAGATCGGACAGTTTAGATCAAACGCAATGGACGACATAGATTAAAAAGAGATGGATATAAATAACATTTTTCATACCAAACCCTAACCCTAATCGCCAGACACTCTCGCTGGAGAAGAAGACCCAGCTGCTGGGAAAGGAAGTTGTCGCCACCCGTCGCCACGTCGGAGCCACTTCCGACCGCCAAAAGAGGTAAGAATTTTCTTCTTTGCTCAGAATTTAATTTTAAACATCCCCATGACCAAATCGGAGCAAAAGGACCGGTGAATTGACCGAAAACTGCAGACAAAGTCCAGTGGCGTTGCTGCAAAAAATTATAAAAAGTGCATCCGATGAGGCCCTTCCTAGTTCCCGTTCTGCGTAATTCTTTCACCATTATAATCATCGTTTTTATTATTATTAATTTAACTTCAATTTCATAATAAAAAATAAGGTGAGACATTCTTACTCAAATTAATACCAGAAAATAATAGAAAACAGTAATGTTTTGTGTAACTTAAAAAATGTCCATAATTAATTACGGGTTACTAATATAGCCAGAATCGTAAATTATTCATTGTTGATTCTGTTGATTTATTTTACAGTTGAATGCATGATGGTATTTGATTGATCGATTTTATAGTTTTGAATGCATGGATTTTTTTTTTATGTGATTACGGTTGAATTGTGAAACTGGAGATTAAAGGTAAATGAAAAATTGTGTGGTTAAGTGAATGGATGAAACAATGGTCTTACTGGATATCTAGAAAGATGGTGGACGGACCGGGTACATAGGGAATCCTACTGTGAATGTTGTCTCATACCGAACGAGGTGTCGAGGCTTGGTAATTTGGTACTCATACCAGACGGGGTATTGAGGCTTGGTAATTTGACGCTCATACCAGACGGGGTATAAAAACGGTTCGTTTCACCCTCATACCGGATTGGGTATTGAGATTTAGTAATTTGACGCTCATATCGGATATGATATGGGGATGGCCCGTTAATTGGAAATGTTAAAGAAAAGGGTTCATACGTTGTGGAGATATCCCTATGAACCCCTATTAATACCAGTAGGCTGATAAAATAGAAAATTATTGTTCCAACTAATTGCATATGGAATCATGATATGTGCTATGTTATTGTCTCTATAAGTTACTTTGTAAATCTTATTACAGTAAGTAGACGGTAAATGATTTTATTTATAATAAACGATTTTGCTAGATTAAGAGCTCCATTAGTTGTTTTTATTATTTTTACTAACCTTTATTTCTCTGTCGGTAAGTAGCGTGATATTTATATTGGGTTAGTATAACTCATTCTTTTATTAACCATTTCAGATCAAGAGAATCAAGATACAGAACCCGATCCACAAGAGGGTTGCAGGTAAAATGCCAGTTCTATTTATTTTTCGATTATTTCTTTAATTTCTCGTATTTCTTTTAAAAAGGTCATTTCCGTAACCCTATTTGGTACTTTAAGTCATTGTGTAAGGAATGTAAACCATAACTGTTTATTTTACTTTTGCACTTAAATTATAATTTATTTCCTTTGAAATTTTCGGGGTCGTTACAAATGTAATGTAATATGAAGTACATAATACATATCTTTGACAATATTTTGTTTTTATAGAAAATATATATGTTAATTGATAGAATTTCTTAATAAATACTTTTTATCAAAATTTCTTACTAAACATTAAGTAATAAATTTATACCTGTTATGTAATTGTCGAATTTAAATAATGACAAATGATTTTACTCGAGAAAATTAAAAAAAAAAGGTTATAGTCGTAATTAATAAGTAAAAAAATAGTGTAGAAAGAACAAAATATAAGTATATATAAGGCCCTTTTAGAATTTTTTTTTTAAATTACAACAATAAAATGATAAAAATTTAAATTACTTTTTTTTTTTTTTTATAAAAATTATAAACTTGACTAAAATTGTTTCTTTAAGGTAGATGAATGCTAATGATCGGTTTGTAGTGACTCGTGATCAATAAATAATGATCGATGGTTGGCAATGGAGATCAATGACTCGTAGATCAATAAACAAATTATAACGTACGAGTAACTAATCTATAATAAAACTCAATTATGTGTTATTTTAGGGAATTAAAAGATAGGTAGAGTTAGTAAGTTTTTTTGACAATTTCAATTAAGTAAATTTATTCTTTTAAAATATTTTTTTTGTCCAAAAAAAAAAAATTTGAATTTATAACTTTTAAATAAAATATAAGGATTTAAATTATTAGTGTAGTAGGTAGTTGTATTTTTTAAAAATTTATTTTGATAACTTAAGAGTCACTCCCAAGAAGTTTTGATGAGTAGATGAGGATTTAAATTTTGTGGTTGTGGGCATTTTGTAGGCACATAATACTCCCTCTTTAATAGCTTTTGTCGCCGTTGGTTGTGGAGAATTACTTCTCTCTCACCCACTTTGTTTATTACTTCCTAAGAGTTTTTAGACTTGCTACGGTGCCTTAAATATATATATATATATATATATATATATGATAGGGAATTGATGGACCAAGGCATTCCTCTCTTAATTTTAACTTCTGGCTTTGAATTGTTGCTTAGAAATTAATATTATTAATGTCATACCTACCCACATGATATACCATGTGTCCGCATAGATATATATATATATATAGAGAGAGAGAGAGAGAGAGAGAGAGAGAGGTGTGACAAATTAAGTAGAAAATTAATTAGTGAAATTTATTTTAGGAAAAAATAATTAGTAAAATTCCATATATCACAATTTGAAATCCATGTCGGTGGAAATTAATTGAGGAGAAAAATGAATTTGTTAATTAGAGAGGAACATTCTTGAATTTCACATCTCCAATAAAATCTGAAATCTACAATTAATTTTCTTTTTGAAAGTCAAAGTTTGCAATTAACTAACAGCCACCAAAGCATGCATATATATATATATATATATATATATATATGTATATATGAAATCTTACCCTTAATAGCAACCGCCAAAAAGGGAAGGACCATCAATGAAAAAGACGAGGCAGAGATGGGAAGGGGATGGGAAATTTTTTTTGTATAAATAAATGTTTTATGAATAAAGTCTTGAATGTTTTAAAATTTAAATATGTTTAACATTTTATACAAAATGCACGATAAAGATTTTAAATATCTATTTTACTCATCCTATGATGGATAGATAAATAGATTCTAAAAATTTAATACATATAATTTCTATCGTAAATGACTTCCTGAATATTTTTTTCGATAAATTTTTAGGTTTGTCACCCAAACAGAAGATCGAGTTCTCTATTAATCTAGTTCTAAGAATAATCTATTGTGAAAGCCACTTATCGAGTGGGTAGAGTAAAACTTCGGGAGTTGTGTTGTTAGATTGCAACATTGAAAGAAAAGTGGCTTATCAAACCAAATAATTCTCCATGGGCTGCTCTAGCCTCAGAAGCACAAGTTTTCTCCAAGGGCATTTAAGTGCATCTTTATGGATTTGTTGTAGAAAAAAAAAGGTTATAAGCTTTTCGATCTTGAACACTAAAAGTACTTAATTTCTAAAGATGTGATTTTCTATGAAAATCATTTTTCATATACAACTCAAGTACAAATAGAAGCGTCAACACTCATTCCCCAAATTTCAACCGCTAAAGCAAACATTTATCAACATATCAGCACTGGGGTTACAGATCCATTTTTTCGACTTCCTTTGCCTACATTGTTCCATTAACCAGAGGCTATTCAACTTGAAGATTTGATGCGGTTATGAGTACGACTGGGCGTGGGAAGCACTCGGTCCTCTGAATTTTCAAGAGCTATCAGGGGAGGAGATATAAGGGAAGAGGTTTGAACAATGTGACTAGGTTTTATTTTGGTATTTTTTTTAAAAAATAAGTTCTTAAACTATACACAATCTCAACAAAGTAAAAATAGAAAAAAAAAAGAATATAAAATTTTAACACAGTTCGTCGATATGTTTACATATACAGGTAAGAAATTATTTCATCAAATAAGAGTACATTATTAAAATATTAGTAAACTTATATATAGAGAAATTAATAAAATTTTTCTCAAACACAAACTTTTTAAGATATAAATCAAATTGTTTCTTATAATAAATACAAAATATTCTCAATATATATATAAAATATTTATTAAGATAAACATAAACTATATGCTAAAATATAAATTAGTATCCCTAAAATTCAATCTACATTAATATTTATTTTATTTTATTTTCACGTAAATATATAATCTGCCCATGATATTAACAATGATAATTTTTAAGAGTAAATTCGAACTAATTTTTAAAATTTTTAAATGTGTATTTCAATTAAAAGATAGATAGATATATAACCGATATAAAGAATTTTGGAGATATATATATATATATAACCAATACAAATGCAGATAAAGAGAAATAGTAGTAGAAATTTGTTCTTGTTAAAGATTTTGTCAATTTAAAATTCTAAATTTATAGCATTTTTCATTTATAGTTAATTATATAAAAATAATATTATCATATCCCAAAAAGGAAAATGGTATCACATGGACAACCAGATGGTTGGTTAGTCAATTCATATTCAATTTACAGACTGGAGGAGTATTTATTACATATCACAAAATTTATTTTTCTCTTCTTCTATTATATATATATATATGTGTACATATATATATATATATGTTATTTAACTTTTGAAAACTGAATAAAAAATATTTTAATTTATAAAGTATAACATTTTTTGTGTTTTACTAATTTCTTTTTGATAGTTTATCAATTATATATAACTAACAATGTTGAAAATATATTCATGCACCTATAACTTATACTATTTAATTAAACAAAATTAAATATAATATAGCAAAATTCATCCTTTTACAGCTATGGCATGTGTAGTTGGGTCCTCAGTCTATATACATATATACATATAGAAATTCATCCTTTTAGAGCTATCACATAAGTAGTTGGGTCCTGAGGCTATATACATATATACATGTAGCAAATTCATCATTCTATATCTATACATAACTAGTTGGATCTTGCAAAGCGCCTAGCTAAGATGTTGAACAGCAGCAGTACGACTTCAAAGGTGATCACATGCAAAGGTAATCTCCACTGTATCTCATCATGGATACGTGTAATATATGTATATGTATATGTTTTTTGTGTGTGCGTGTATATATATGATATCTTGTTTGTTTTGGGCAGCTGTGGTGTGTTGGGGAAGAGGGGGAGATGTGATAAAGGTGGAAGACATAAAAGTGGAGCCACCAAAATCAAACGAAGTTCGAGTTAAGATGCTGTATGCAAGTATCTGTCACACTGATCTCCTATTCATTGAAGGATTTCCAGATGTGAGTTCATATATATATATATATATATATATATGCATATGGATATATCTTTAATAGTATTGATTGTATATATTTGATTAACTAATTTGTTGTTTATATATATGTAATTAATTAACCAGCCTGATCTGTTTCCTCGAGTTCTTGGTCACGAAGGGGTCGGGTAAGCTCCATTGATCTCTTCTATCTCCAGCTGCTTAATTCAATTTTATGTATCACCTGCAAAAATTAATATTTGTTAATTAAGTTTAATAATAACATATAAAACTTCAAAAACTATTCATCAAGATAAGTAATTTTTATACTACATTGATTACGATAACAACATCTCTTCTAATTTTTTTATTAAGTTATTAATTTACTCTCTAAAATTTGATTTTCTTTTCTATTTTAAATATTTTGTTTAGTTCAAAACAGTTATTTCAAATTTTTTCAAAAAGAAAATCAAAATTTCTAAGTCTTATTCGGTAAATTAAAAAACAATTTATTCCTTAATAATCTCCCCTCCCTTCTCTTTCTCCTCCTTCCTCAGTCTTAATTTTCTATCTTCTTTCCCTATTTCACTCTCCTCTCAAATAATTTATCATCTAGAAACATATATATATTTTTTTCTGTTTTAATTTGAAAAAGCTCGTTAGCCTCGTTGTTATCTCTTGAAGGTATCAGTTCTTCTCCCATGGTGTCTTTCTTTGTCCCTAAGGACTATTTTCACCTTTATTATATCTGTCACTTTTGCTTCAATAGTAAGTGAAAGGTCCTCCACAAATACAAAGGTTATTAAAGTTCATGAAACTCAATCAATCCTTGTCTCATCTCATTCGATTCATCCATGAATTATCTCTATTAAAATTTTAATTTTTTGAGACAGTATCACCGTTTACTTAGTCCATTCTATAAATACAACATTGAGTTTTTTTTACATTTAGCATGATGGTCCTTTGGTGCCCCATATATCTTGTCTACCAATGAGAATATAATGAATAGTCTTGTAAAGACCCAGAACTTAAAAGAAAATAAAGTCATAAATTAAGTATTGAAGCGAAATAATAAAATTTAATGTTTATATTACTTACACAATAATTTAGAATACCCAATAAGTCAACGAGAATGTTCCTTCTAAAAGAATAAACGAAAATTAAAAAAATAAACAAAAAATAATATACTGACTATTCTAGAACGACATTCACTATCTTTTGAAGGGAGTCCAGATGGTGAACTATTCACAACCCTCTTGTTGATCGGGATTTGAGTTTTGATTCTCTTGATATGAAATAGTTAATGAAAGGATGAACTACACTAATTTAGTAAGAATATCACACTACTCAATGATGAGATTAGTAAAAATCATAAAAACAACTAATGGAGCTCTTGATTTAAGTAAATTCATTTTTCATTAAAAAAACCATTTATTACATATATTTACTATTGCGAGATTTTCAAAATCAACCTATAGAGATAATAACTCAAATAACATTCCAATCTCATTTTTAAGTGAGCAATAATAACCACTTTTCCTTTTTATTTGCCTACTGAAATCTTTGGGGGTTCATAAAGATGTCCCACTACGCGTGAACCAATATACAACATTATCAACTAATCGGTCGTCCCCATACCTCATCTGGTATGAGCGCCAAAAATACCATCCCTTAATACCCTGTTCGATATGAAGGTAAATCGGATCGTCCCTATACCCCGTCCGGTATGAGCGTCAAAAATACCATTTTTCGATATCCCGTCTGGTATGAGGCAACGTTCACGGTAGGATTTTTTATGTATCTGGTCCGTCCACCATCTCCCAAGATATCCAGTAAAACTATCATTCATTAATTCACATGACCAAACAATTTTTCATTTACATATTAATTTTTAATTTCTTAAATAAATAGTAAATCACGCAAGACAAACAATATATATAAAGGAAACACAATTGAATCATTCAATAATTCCAGTATATTATCATGTATTTAAAACTGTAAATTCAATAATCAATTAAATAGGATAATAAATAAATGACTAATCGATTTTCAGCTCTATTGGTATCTGGTAATTATTCTCAAACTTTTCTAAATTACATAAAATACCATATTACCGATTATTAAGTTTCAATTCCATAACAGAGAATAAGGTGAAAGATTTTTATCCGAATCGGTGTCTGAAATACCAAAGTTTCTACTGCACCTATTAGAAGTCCCCGGGTTTTCTGAATTTTTCTATGAAGATTAAAACACACTTCACGTACCTAAAAATACCCCAATAAA